AGATGCTTGGCACAAAGCAAGTGAACAAGAAAACATTCTTTGTATGAATGGAACTTACAGTCAACTGAGGGAGTCTGTCATCAACCACGAGAGTCATGGCCAGTCCAATCTGGGCGGGCCAGGCGTCAGTGAGATGTTAAGTCTGGCTTGCTTGCTAGATCCATGCTATCGTCTTTTAGAATCAACTCTACCATTATTCACGTCGTCATTCCAAACCATTTGCTAGGCATCGTGTCATATCAGGGACCATGTTGGGTGCTGTCAAGTCAATTCTAACTCATAGCAACCCCACGTGACAAAGTAGAAATGTGAGGGAAGAAGAGAGATGGTGATGGTGGTTGGAGGGAACCTGTCATTTGACAGAGACACGAAGTGGCAGGGTGAAACGAGCCCTGGAGTTGTCTGAGGGAGGAGGCAGAGGACAGTGGGTGTCACTGAGGGACTCAAGGATAGAAGCAGGTCACTAGGATGTTACCTTACAAAGAATGTCATGTATGTAACACACACAGACACTGTCTGCCTGCCTGACGGTCTGGTTCCTTGAGGCTTCTGCTCCCTATAGTTGGACTTTTTTATAATGAAAGGTTACACCTAACTCCCTCATTAGCACTTTGTGTCTGGGCTGTGATTTGTCCTTGGTGACATTTGAAAACAATGTCAGTTATGCACAAGGTTAAACAGAGCCAGAACCGAGCTGCACCCCAGTGGGATGGGAGCCAGTGAGAGCTGCCGTAGTAGTAGGTGTCATGCTTTACAGGGTCTTCAGTCCCAAGCAAAGTCCCGCAGACTGTGATCATTAAGGCAGCAGACTGCTAGATCTTCCTCCCAGGGAGCCACGGGGTGGGTTTCCAACCTCCAACATTTTGCATAGCAGCACAGTGCTTAACTGTTCCATCACCTTTCGAGAAACAAGTTAATGTTATTTAGTGTTTACTCTGTACTAAGCACTGGACTCAGTACATTGCATGTATGAACTGCTTAATCTTCATAACTCTTTGAGATGAATACCCTTATTTTCTCCTCTTTACAGATGAGACACAGAGCGGTAGCGGTTCATTGGTGGCCGTAGTCATCCAGTGCTATTAGAACAGAGAAAGCGCAGCACTGGAACGTAAACCACAAGATTGGTAGTTTGAGCCCACCAGCTACTCCGAGGAAATAAGATGAGGCTTTCTGCTCCCACAAAGATTTATAGCCTCACAAACCCTAGACAGGGTTGCTATGGGCCAGAATCAACTCGACAGCACTCAACAACAACGTTTATACAGCAATACCACAAGTGGGTAGCTTTAAAGAACACAAATGGTTTTTCTCTCCATTTCAAAGGTTAGAGGCCCTGGGGGATGGTTCTTTGTCCACTGTGGGGAAAGTCTGTGTCTCCGCTTCTCCAGCGCTCTTTGTGACAGCTCTCCTCTGTTTACACTTGCTTACCTCTGTGTCCGGGCTGCTCTCTCTATCCCTTAGAAGCAGTTTGATTTAGGACATGCCCTACATTGATATGACCTCATTAACACAGCAAAGAAAACATTCCCAAAAGGTATTCTAGCCACAGCTCTGGGGGTCAGCACTCTAATACATATTTTGGGGGGGGGGCGGGATACAATTTAGTCAATAACATTGACACAACTAGGTTCACTGCCATATGCATCTCAGTCTAATAAGGTAGGCAAGCCAGCAAAACCATCTTTATATTTTTGGTTGTTCAGTGCCGTCTTCGAGTCAGTTCTGACCCATAGTGACCCTGTATAGAGTTTCCAAGGAGCAGCTGGTGAGCTTGAACCACCGACCTTGGGGTTCAAACCAACTTTGTGGTGCAGTAAAGTTGTATGGAATACAGTGGAAACATCAAAACAAGCAGAACTAAATTTGTCTGAGAATCAAGAATGGTGAAACAGGAGACAGAGCTTCTGAACTTACACTTGAAGGCTGCATAGCAGTTTATCACTGATAAGAATGTTGGGTTGAGGGCTGGCCTGCGGAGGGGAGAAAGGTGGCTTTGGTTTGCAACAGGCTGAGGTATGAGGAACATGTTAGGTAATGTGGGTCCATGTGTGCAGGGCCTTTTCTACGAGTTCCCATCTAGCCCACCACATTGCAAACATGTCCATGTTTCAACACTGATGTCTGCTTCATCTGCACATCCAAGGTAATACCGGGTATATGTGTACCAGTGGAGATTCTTCCCAAGCCAAGAGTCAATTTCAGGGGGTGGAACACACACTTGAAAACCAGTTAAAGTGTTGTTTTAATCGGTAGGTGGATCTGTTGGTACCAATGATTATTCATGGCATCAAGACACAGGGCGCCCGCCAGAAGCTGTCCAGCCTCTACATCTCTCAGTTTATCATCATGTACAGCCTGGATGGGAAGAAGTGGCAGAGCTATCGCGGGAATTCCACTGGGACCTTAATGGTACGGTATTAGTCCATTGATAAGAATGCATGGATCCTTTAAGGAGATTTAGGCAGATTTCAGATACGGGCAGACAGACACTCCGAGCTTCTACAGACTTAATTCCAAAAAGCTTTCCCACCTAGGGGCAGTAGGAGCAATTGCAGAAATGTGAACAGAACCCAAAGTAGTTGCATCGTGAATCTCAAAGGTGATAGAAAGGAAGGGATGCTGTTGACAGAAATGGGTGGTTCAGGATATGGAAGACTGATAAGATGATAAGTTTCCTTATGACTTTGCTAATGGTGTGGCGCTGTGGGTTAATGCGCCAGACTGCAAAGCCGTTTGAACTGCAAGATCAATGGTTCAAGCTCACCAGTTGCTCCTTGGAAACCCTATACAAGGTCGCTATGGGTCGGAAACGACTCCATGGCACTTAACAACAACAACAACAAAAACGGGACTATAAGTCAACCATGTTGAAACGGAAAATGACAGATGATCCCAAACATAATACGAAAACCATTGTAATTCCAGGTATGGTATCTCTTCCAAAGAAAATTAACACAGCCGCAGGCACGTGACATAGAACTGTTGTTAAGTGCTGCTGAGTTGGTTCAAACTCATAGCAGCTATGTGTAGGGTTTCCAAGGAGCAGCTGGTAGGTTTGAACTGCTGACCTTGTGGTTTAAAGCAACCTTGCAGTCACGTGTGTTATCCTACCGTGACACCCCAGGACTCTGATATAAAACTGCTGTCCTACAAGATGTCCTTTTCTTCATTCCTATTAATAAGCAAAAGTCAGAATAAGGCTGCATTGTTGTTGTTGTTGTTAGGTGCGATCAAGTCGGTACCAACTCATAGTGACCCTATGCACAACAGAACGAAAACACTGCCCAGTCCTGGGCCAACTTCACAATTGTTGCCATGCTTGAGCCCATTAATGCTGCCACTTTGCAAATCCATCTCGCTGGAGGTCTTCCTTTTTTTCCTCTGACCCTCCACCTTACCCAACATGATATCCATCTCCAGCAATTGGTCCATCTTGACTGTATGTCCAAAGTATGAGAGACTAAGTTTGTCCATCATGGTCTCCAAGGGGCACTCTGGCCGCACTTCTTCCAACACAGATCTGTTG